GTTTCTGGGGTCAGACGGTTTAAACCCATTTCCACGGCTCGCCGGTTATGACTCTGGGGAAGTTTCTCCTCTCGCGCTGCCTCGGTTTCCCAGGGCCTACCTTCCAGGGCTTTTGTGAGGATGACATGCTCATCCAGGGAAGCAGGTTGGTGTATACTGAGAGCTCAGGAAGCATGAATTCCATCACTGGATAAAGCAGTTGATAACGTAGTGACTGTAGATTCAACCAGCTGCCAGCCATCCCTGCCTAGAGCCCTCTGAAAGAGGGTCCCCAGCCCCCCCTCCCCTGCTTCTTCCCTCCCCCTCTCTTGCCCACGAAAGAGAAACGTTGTGTTGGCAGGTGAGGAATTACAAAGAAGAAAAAGGTTGGGGTGGCTTTTGGAACCAGCGGATGGGCAGCCATGATTGCCTGGGTGGCCTGAAGGTCCTGGAAAATGTGGGGATGGACGCTGAGGGCCAGCAGTCCCCTCCTCCCACATAAGAAGGGAGTTTCTCTTGCTGGGGGCGCAGGGTGGAGTGCTAGGGAATTTTCTTTTCATCATGATCATTACTAGAAACTTCAGAACCCAGAAAATACCCAACACATAAGGAAACCATTCCCCAACCCCTAAGATTTCCAGCGTTACTGGCCTCACCCGAGCTGCTGCCCAACGCCAGTTGCTTTATGACTTTGTAACAGACAGAAGTGATCTGACTCATGGCCGCCAACCAGGCCCCCTCTGCCACACACCAGAGTTCCCCTAACTTCCCATTCGGCTACCTGACTCGAAAATGCCCTGTTCTGGTCCTACAAGATCCCTGCTCATTGGTCATCTCCAACACACCTGGAACGAGAAGTCACCTACACACACACACACAGACACACACACACACACACACACACACACCAGCTCCCACCCCTACCCTAGACGGTGGAAAAAGGAATGGGATGGGGCCCAGGAGAAGGGGCGAACGAGTAAAATAGAAACGTAGGCCTTCCTCCTCATATTTCATTCGTTGTGACTTATCAAAACTTTGAGGTTTCTCGGTTCTCACTGACAGTCAGAGCGGGCTTTCTCTAGAGTAACCAAAAGACGCGGGTTTAAAGAAACCTCGAGCGCTTCACATCGAGATGAGTCAGTGGAGGACGGGCGGTGCGTTCGTTGGACCCTGAAGAGAGTGTGGTTAGGGCAGAACACGGACAGCAGCTCAGGGGCTCCCGGGGTGGTTCAGCCAGAAAGGGGAATGAGAGAGAGGAACTCCGATGTTGTACAAGGGCCCATGCTCTCCCCGGGGCCGCAGACGCTCACACGCAAGCTGGGGCAATGGGGCGGCGGGTGCCTGTCCCAAGAAATGGAAGACACAGCGAGGAGGGCAGGTCCAGGTGACAGCAGAGGGCCCGACTGCCATGCTGACCTGCAGGGACTTCCGCCCTGGGGGTGGGTGGAGAAGTCCTAAGGATTTAGAAGGAGGGAGGTAGTGGGGGGTGGTTTGGGAGGAGGGGATGTTACAGCCAAGGAATGATTTAGGAACATGGCTAGCAGTCACGTGCAGTACGCCTTGCTTGAGGTGAGAGAGAAACAGCTAGTCTATTCACGGGGCTCGATGCCGGTCCTTCCCCCAGGGACCCCCAAGCCCAAGGTGGACTCTCCAATTCCAAATCCCCCGCCTTGGGCAGTCCCTCCGGAAAACATTCCCTGCGACTCGGGTATCGTGCTGCGGGATTTCCAGCAGGTGGTGCTGTGGCCAAGGACTCAGATTCGCTGGGAATGGGCTCCTGCCTCTTGGGAAGCCGGAGCCATGAGAACGTAGGGCAGTTTCCCCGAAGGTGTTTAAAGTGGGGTCCCCCACCTCTTCCCGGTCTCAGCTGAGAGGAGAGGGGCGCCAGGCCTGTAAGCCCTGGCTTGGCACCCATGGATGTTCCCTACGGGCCAGGCCTGGGGGGCACGTCCTGGGGAGGGGGCCCAGAGATGAAGCAGGCACAGTTCCTTTCTCGGGGTGCTCCCAGGCTGCGGGGTGAGACAAGACTTCTGTATAAACCACCCTGCGGCCTGTCCTGCTCGGCCCTCGGAGGAAATGAGTTCCAGGTCCGGGACCCAGCTCAGCCACAGAGCAGAAGTGAGCAGCCAAGTGCCTGTCCTCCGTCCACCACACACCAGGCCTCTGCTCACCTGGGCTCTCAAGGCTGTTCCGGCCCAAGGAGAGCCTCCTGGGTGACCCCAGGCTCCAACCCCTGCTCTGGGCCAGGTCTCTCCCCACAGCTGGCCTCCTGTTCCCCCTTCTACCCAGAGCCCCCGGCTCTGAATTAGAAACAACTTAAGGAAGAGGAGGCGTGTACACGCCTCAGTCAAGCAAAAAACTAGCAGCTCCCTCAGGGACTGGTCCCCATCCTGCCACGGCCCCCCAGGACAGCGTCCCCTCGGTCAGTGGGAGCCTCCTCCCTGGGAGGGCACGCCCGGCATTCGTTCTTCTACTTATTCGTCCACTCCCAACGCCTGGGCACCAACTCCCAGGTTCTGGGCCTGCGCTGGGGAAAAGGGAAGAGGTCCCTGCTCCAAAGACAGGCTGAGGGGTGGGCCAGGTGACTAGGCCTGCGCTGGGGAAAAGGGAAGAGGTCCCTGCCCCAAAGACAGGCCAGGTGACTGGATGGATGTCAACCGAATGAAGGGGTGTGGGGAGCCCCATGAAATACTCTTTCATCCATTCCTGGGAGGCCAGTAAGTGTAGGACACACACACACACCCCTCTACCACCACACCTCAGGGCCTTCCTTGCTTCCTGGGAGCAGGAAGGAGGAGGCCATTCAGACCCAAGAGTCAAGATCAGTTGACGCTCAACCTTGAGGATAGGTCTGGGTCAGGGAGGACTCTCTGACCCCAAACGAGGCCCTGAAGAGCCAAGAAAGGGGAGACCGCCCTGCGTCCTCCTCTGCTCCTTTCAGGGACCTCGCCATGGAGGAGGGAGAGGAGGGGAGGGCAGCGAGTCCGGGGAACCAGCCAGGTTGCTCCGAGGCACAGTCTGGTTCTGATACTCTGTTTCGGCAAAGGCAGCGCCGGGAGCATGTGATGAAAGCTCCATCAACATCTCGATCTCGAGGTTTCCTTCAATAACAAAGAGCTGTCCCCTGCCCAGCAGTAACGCTCTCACCTTGCCTCCTGCAGGGAAGCCCATGAAGAGCGTGCTGGCCGTGGCTCTCCTTGTCATTTTCCAGGTGAGGTCTCTTCCCCCGTCCACACCCCTGAACCCCAGCTCACCCCTCGCACGTCCAGGGTTCTGGGGGAGCAGCTGGGCATTTGCTGGAAGGAAACAGACCCAGACACGAACCCACTCGCCACTCATTAGGCCGACGGTCGCCCCTCTCCATCTGCTGAGCGACCCTAGCGAGTCTTTACTCCACTTAAATGAACACCTGAGGGAAAGAAGTGACCACCACCTTCCCCACCCACTTCCTCTGTCCCCATCCCACAGACAAACATGCGGAGCGCACCCTGCTCCGGCTGAGCTCAGAGAGAGGGGAGCTTTTTGCCAGGTTCATGAGCTTTGCACGTATGTGCGCACACCCTGTCCATGTGCGGCTTCATATGTTTCCGTGAGCTGAGAAACGAGCCTGTGGTGTGGTGGCCTGGTTACTATCCTCTCACCCCAAACTGCCTCCCTCCCCAGCCTCCATCCAAGGCTCCCCTAGTTCCCTTTCATGAAATAGAGACACATCTGCACTCCACCGGAGGGGGGCAAGCAAGGGGCCCAGGATCCTGGGAGCGGGAGTGGGTGGAGGAGCGCACATAGTTTATAGCGGCCTGAACGCCGCAGGAGGAAGGGCCTCCGGTTGACAAGGCTTTGCTTCTCAATCCCAGAAGTGGAGACAGAAAACCGGCCCCCATCCATCCATCCAGACGTAGAAGAGACTGTAACTCATGGAGTCCACTCTCCCCGCTTTGTTGGGGTGACGGCTGCCTTGGAGGGGGAGGGGGCAGCTGAGACCAGAGCGGGAGAGGCACTGCTTCAGAATTGGCTCTTCCCCAGGTCTGGAGGCCAGAGGGCGGCTTTCCAGGCGCTCTGGCCAGAGGCAGGCCCCACGCTGGGCCCTGTTCCCAAAACCCCAACCCAGAGGCCCCCGGAGCTTGGGCTGCAGCCCACAGCCTGGCCCCCTTCCCCAGCCCCACTCCCTCCCCTCCTGCTCCCCTGTTTCCAGGACTCCGGTGGGTGGGGGGCTGTATTACTACCCTGGAGGCTGGAAGGTGGGGGAGGGGGAGGGACAGCTGGGACTCATTCTTCTCTTTACTGGGGTGGATGGAGGTGGCTCAGATGGGGCAGGAAGTGGTGGGGCTGTGGGCTGCAGAGGCCTCAAGCTTGGTGGCTCATGGGGGAGGTGGGTAGGAAAGGGGGGAAGCGAAGGCAGGGGTTGTGGGGAGCACACTTCATAGAGAGTGCATGGACGGCCCTCCAGGAAGATCCAGAACCCCCATGTCCAGGGGCCCCAGACCTAAGGCCTCAGGCCTTCCTGTGGATGGTCCTCTAAGACGTCCAGGCGGCAGTCATGCCCCGAGGAGGGAAAAGAAGCTGCTACTGGCTTTTCTTTTCGAGATAACAAAACCCAGAGAAGAGGCCCCTGGGCATTATTGTCCCTTCATCCCTCCCTGGGGCAGGACAGTGATGACTCCAGATTGGACGTGAGAAAGACAGAGACAGCACAGGGAAGCAGGGAGACCGGCCTCCACCTCTGGCCTCGGAACCTGGAAGCCCTGAGAGAGCCACATGGCTTCTCCCAGAGCCTGCCTCCCTGTCCTCATCTTTAAAGTCCCTCCTGCTCCCCAACTGTATGAAAATGCATCGTGGTGAGCTGCCCAGAGCCCTGTTCCCAGAGGAGGGACCACCAGCTTCCAGCCCAGCTCCCACGCTGCCCGGGCTCAGCCCTCACTGTGTCGCTGAGCACGGAGGCCTGAGCAGCCGCCGAGCCCGCCTTCATGGCTAAACTCACAGCAGGCCACCCAAACCTTCACCGGGCTCTGCAGACAGGCTTTCAAAAGCCCCGAGCAGAGCCCTGCTGGTCGGGATCTGCCTGGAGACTGCGAGGAAGAGAGGCAGAGAGGTGGGAGGAGACGTGGGAGACAGAGCTGTGCTTCCTTCCGAGGCTCCAAGCGGACCGATCACAGCTGAGGAGGCAGAGTTCAGTGCGCTGGGCACGCGTTGCCTGAGCCCTGCCGTGTCCCCTGCACTGTGTCCCGGGCCCCAGGGGTCCATAAAAGTCTTCAAGTTGCTCGCCATCCATGGTCATGGTCATGGCAGCCTGTCCCACACCAGGGCGAGCCTTTGCCTTCCTCTCTCCTCACTCCAGGCTCTGCTCAACCTTAATGTCCAGGTGGATTTTCCCTCCAAAGCTGAGGTGTTGTGTAGGCTCCCTTCTGGAAAGCTCTTTCCACCAGGTTCTGAAGGAGGCGCAAGAAGAAAGACCGGGCTCCCACAAAATAACACCTCTGCGGAGACCAGTGGGTGCCTCACCTGGGAGAGGTACCGCACAACAACCACATGAAGGGGATGGTGTGCGTCTCCATTTCACAGAGGAGAAAACTCAGGCTCGGAGAGATGCAGTGTGTTTAACCATCTCACAGCTCAGTTGACCTCAAAGCCAGACTATTTCCAGTCCTCTGTCAGCACATTGTTGGTTTCCAACAAAGAACCACCTGGAAAGTTCAGGAAAACGGAGTCCTGGGCCCCGCGCCCTGAGATTCTGGTGCAGGAGGTGTCAGGTGGGGTCCAAGAACGTGCAGGTGATGGGGATGGTGATGATGCTGACGGTAGGGACCACACTTTGAAGCCTCGGCCCTGGGCAATCCCAGGGCAGCGAGATTGTGACCCACTCAGCTAAGCTGGATGGTGTTTCCCTGTCTCCCTTCCCCACAGGTGTGCCTGTGCCAAGATGAGGTCACGGACGATTACATCGGAGAAAACACGACGGTGGACTACACCCTGTTCGAGGCCGTGTGCGACAAGAAGGAGGTGCGGGACTTTAAGGCCTGGTTCCTCCCAGCCATGTACTCCATCATCTGCTTCGTGGGTCTGCTGGGCAACGCGCTGGTCGTGCTGACCTACATCTATTTCAAGAGGCTCAAGACCATGACCGATACCTACCTGCTCAACCTGGCCGTGGCGGATATGCTCTTCCTCCTGACCCTCCCCTTCTGGGCGTACAGCGCAGCCAAGTCCTGGGTCTTCGGTGTCCACATTTGCAAGCTCATCTTCGCCATCTACAAGATAAGTTTCTTCACCGGCATGCTCCTGCTCCTCTGCATCAGCATCGACCGCTATGTGGCCATCGTGCAGGCCGTCTCGGCCCACCGGCACCGGGCCCGCGTCCTGCTCATCAGCAAGCTCTCCTGCGTGGGCATCTGGGTGCTGGCCACGGTGCTCTCCATCCCGGAGATGCTGTTCAGCAACATCCTGAGGAGCAGCAGCGAGCAAGCCTTTCGGTGCTCTCTCGTCACCGACCAGGTGGAGGCCTTGATCGCCATCCAGGTGGCCCAGATGGTGGTGGGCTTTCTCATCCCCCTGGTGGCCATGAGCTTCTGCTACCTGGTCATCATCCGCACCCTGCTCCAGGCGCGCAACTTCGAGCGCAACAAGGCCATCAAGGTGATCATCGCCGTGGTGGTGGTCTTCATCGCCTTCCAGCTGCCCTACAACGGGGTGGTCCTGGCCAAGACGGTGGCCAACGCCAACAGCACCACCACCTGCGAGCTCAGCAAGCAGCTCAACATCGCCTACGATATCACCTACAGCCTGGCCAGCGTGCGCTGCTGCGTCAACCCTTTCCTGTACGCCTTCATCGGCGTCAAGTTCCGCAACGACCTCTTCAAGCTCTTCAAGGACTTGGGCTGCCTCAGCCAGGAGCGGCTGCGGCAGTGGTCTTCCTGCCGGCACACCCGGCGCTCCTCGATGAGTGTGGAGGCCGAGACCACCACCACCTTCTCCCCGTAGAGGCTTCTCGGCCTGGACTTGAGGGAACCTCTCCGGGGACCCCCCGGGTCGGGGACGGGGAGCAGATGACATGACTCAGGACCCAAAAGCTGCTGAGGGGAAAGGAAGTTCTGGCTCTTCAAGTTCATCTCATGGCGAAAACCCATGCCACCCAAGACAGACCGTCATCAGAAGACAGATGCCCAACCCCAGCTACCTCAACCAAGTTGGCAGGGACGTGGCTGGTGAGCTACCAGACCCGGCCACACTCCAGCACCAAAAAACCAAAAAACCAAAAGTGAAAGCGGAGAAAGTTCACACCTCCTGGAGCCAAGGGAAGGGCGCTGGTGAGGGCTCGGGCAGTATGAGGGCCCCGGGGAGCCCTCCGCATGAACCCTCACGGGCTCAGGCGAGGTCTTCCAGAAAACAAGACGGTGTCTCCAAGACCGGAGGCGATGGGGAAACTTCTTGGCTGGGCAAGGAAAGGGAGACGCCAGCGAACGCTCTGCATCCCTCCCTCCGCCTCTCTTTTTCCACTGTCCTCCGAGCCAGCGAGAAATGGCAGCCTCCAAGCCTCCCTAAAAGCACACTTGCCTCTCGCCTGCTGCCTCTCCTGGGGCGGCCGCCCTCCCAGGCCCTCCCTGGTTCCTGCAGGCCAAGCCAGCTGCCTCCGGCCGGCCA